AAAATAAGAAAAAAACAATGAGCTTCATTAATTATAACTTGGGACTTATTTTTTCCCCTCAATAGAAAAGAATGTTAAGTTTGTGTTAATCTACAAGGAATTTTATGCCTCTTGACTAACGTTGGCCCTGTTAGGAGTGTCTGAACAGAGTACAGACATATCTTGAGAGATTTAACTTAGACTTAACTCAGTTTTCATAAGGATTTCAGTAACTATCCTTAAAGTCATTGTAAAATGTGATACTGAAAATTTTTTCCTGAAAGTCTTCTGTGTAATCAGTACTCAAGGGAATGGTTTTAGACAGTATTTTCAGAAATTTGACAGGAATGAAAATCAGAGGAAGACTTCCAGGGCATTTGCTCCGTGGCAGACATTAAGCATTCTTTTTTAGCTGAGGATGACACTACAGGGTATCATGTACTAAACAGTACCCTCCTAGGGTTGGAGAGGGCCTATTAAGTTATCTATTGCAGTTTTCTATCCGAGGCAGAGATTCTGTCTTTAACATCCTTGAGAGATTATCTAGTACTTTTCTATCTGGTATGGGGTGCACAAAAGAGCATGTTAAAGATAAAAAGACAGTAATTGCTGTGTAAGTTCAGAGGAAGGAGGTATTTCTGGGTGGGTACTCAGAGATTCTTTGCAGAGGAGGTGGCTCATAAGAAGGAATTTACTTAGGAACGACAGGTAGAATTTCACTTGAGGGAAGGCCTGGCCCAGGCAAACATGTGGAGGTTAGAAAGCACAGGGTATGTCTGAGGAACAGCAAGTAGACTTAAGGGCTGGAGTCTCAGTAGCATAAGCAATGTTAATTGTCCTAGAAGGGCATATTTGCAATATAGCAGGTGAAGTTTAGGCCAATAAATTGTTTTCTTCAGTTCTAATTGAATTAGACCTCATTAGAGCCATGCTTCATTGGGATGAACTGCACAAGAGTCTGTGATTGAGAACAAGTTGGATGTGTACCAAATGCCATATACTTGTAACAATATTTATGACATGCCATCCTTGTAAATTATATTTACTATATGTTTCAAAATGTTTTTGTTGCAAATATTTGCTTTAAAAGATGCATGTCTATCATCTACATAAAATTCTGGATTTCATAATGGTAAATTTTCAAATGCAAAAACAAATGTTTTTTCTTCTGTATAGACACAGGGAACATGGAGGTACTGCACCTCTATGGAAGTGAGGAACAGAAGCAACAGTGGCTTCAGCCTCTTCTTCAAGGGAACATTGCCTCCTGCTTCTGTATGACAGGTAGAGGCAAATCACCTTTCTCCCCTTGTGTAGTCAGTCAGCCTGGAGTTATTATGAATGAGTTCAAGAAACGTGGGTCGTGGCTCTGTTGCAGTCAAATTTGCCTGTGGCTAAAAACGTGAATGTTTGTTTTGAGCCTGATTTGAAATTTTGGCATTTTTAAATTTGCAGAATAAATTTTTCCTCCCCTTTGGGAGAACACCAGATAATGTTTCTGGTATCCTGCTTTGGCATTAGCAGCAGAATACAGCTGTACTTAATAACAAGTACAGATTACTATGATTGCGAGCTAGCCAATTTTGAAATGCCATGCAGTAAAGCAGTTGTTTAAGGGTGTCCTGTGGAAAACTGTCTGAAGACCTTAAGTGTTGAGCAGCCTTTAAAGAATGTAAAGTATATAAATTGGTGAACGCATTCCTGATGGAATTTGCAAGCCGCAGTTAGAAATTGTTAAAGATAGGTATATAACTCCACACTGCTAAATTTGACCAGCTTTAAAAAAAAAAAAGAAATTGTTTAAAATAGTAAACTATATGGTGGGGGAAATGTGGCCTGCAAATATTTAGTACAGATTTCCATTGTGAGAAGTAGAAAATGATATTTTTATCTACTTTTGATGGTTAAGGAAAGAAAGGACTGAGTGAGTTGTATCCCAAGTCACATATTGGTAAGGAAGCTAAAAACACAATTCAGAATACTGATCCCCAGTGTTCAATATACTTCATTCATTCTTCTAATGCACATATATTGAATGTCTACTGTGTTCAGTAAGAACCAGGGTGGAATGGGGAAGGGTAGGAAGATGAAAAAGACAAGGATGCCTGTATCCTTAAAAAATTTCCATTCCCTTATCTAAGTCTTTTTGTAAACTGATGGTATCTGCCTGCCTGTAAATTCAGCATTTGTTTATTTATAGAACCTGATGTAGCTTCAAGTGATGCCACAAATATTGAATGCAGCATCCAACGAGATGGCGATAGTTATGTAATTAATGGCAAGAAATGGTGGAGCAGTGGTGAGTGTTCAGCACAAATTTTTTCACTTAACAGATTGATCCTTTGTGCCACATGCTGTGTTAGAATAATGCTATTATACTTAGTTACTAGCCATGATCATAATTCTTTAAATTCTTCCATTTTAAGCATTTTCAAATTTAGAAATAGTCAAAAGGAAAATAAATTTTAAAATAACATGTCTTGATTAGGCAATGTTTATTTTAAAATGGAAAACATATCTTTTTTTTACAGTTTGAAAGATAAAATTCATTAGTGAAAACTATTTTTGACCAATGTAATTTCTATTAAAATTTAATTTTAATAGGGGCATATTACATGGGTTATAATAATTTACATGCAGTTGTTTTGTAAAGATAAGCTGTACATGTTATTAAAAATAATTTATTGTGGTACATATCTTCATTACTTAAAAATACAAGAGTTTAAATGAAAAATATGACATTTTATACATAGGATAATATATCTTTTAGTCAACCCTCAGTCATAGACTTACATAAATGGATGAGTTCTTTAGGAAGTTATACAAATTTGAACCTAGATAAATATGATAATCTGAGGATTGCTTTGAGGGTATACATGACAAAACTAACATTTTTCAGGATAACCAGTTATTACTAAAGAAAGTTGACATCATAGAAGCAAATTATATGTTTAAGAACTTACCAGGAATGTAATAAAAGGGTCAGAAAAGCTTATTATATATTATTTTGGTTACTTGTCTTTCTGGGATTTTATAAAATTACTTGAAATTT